GGGGCCGGGGCTCCCGTGCGGCCCCGCCGCGTCCGGCGCCGTTGCCAGGGCAGCGGGCCGGCCAGGCGCGGGGAGGCGGGCGCGACGTGGGACCAGCCGTGCTGGCCGTGCGGCGGCGGGTGCGTAGTTCTGCACGGTCGTGCGGGCGTGTGTCTGTGTGCGCCAGCGAGCGAGCCAGCGCCGGCGTGACGTCGCGCTCAGCGGCACCGGCCGCGCACTGCTGCGCGCGTGTGGGCGGGAGGGGCGGGAGGGGAGGGGAGGGGGCGCGGGGCGGCGGGGGCGCGGCACGTGAGCGCCGAGTAACGGTTCGCGTGTGCGGCGGCGGCGACTGGCGTGTGTGTGTGTGTGTGTGTGTGCGCGCGAGAGAGACAGCGAGCCTGCCGATGTGGCGCCACGGTTGGCACATGGAAGGAGTGCGTTGCATAGGCAGAGCGAGCTGAGCAAATGCCCACGTTAGGCCGCTGTGCCAAGCTATGTATGGGCATGTCTGCACTTTTAGGTAGGACTCCGGGGTGCGGGGGGGGACGGCGCACCTGCTGTTGTGGTGCGGTGCAAAATCATCGAACTCTGGTGCTGGACTCCAGCATGTCATAGTCCAGAAGCGTTTAACCTTTGTACGTATTGAAGTTAGTACACGGAAGGTTCTGGTTCCCTCCGCTGATGACTTTGGACCTGTCACTGAGCTCACAAAGTTTGCTGTGAGGATAAAATCTCTTCATCCTCACTTAGTTTTAATTAAGTTGTTGCATTTCCACAGTGTGCCCAAAGTTACTCATGGTACAAAAACGGCTGAACAAAATGTGTTTCGGTTTATTCTTTGCAGTGTTACTGTAACAACTGAAGCAATGAACGGGAACAGTGGTGGCAGGGGGAAAGCTCATGCGCACTGCTCTGGGTTTCTTGAACAGACAGTGTGGCGTAAATGTAACAAGTAAAATATATTTCTTCCGTTTTGCTTATAAAGAAAAATGGGGTGTGTGTTTTGAAAGGGCAAAACAGGAATGAATGTATATTTTTATTGTTAACACTTGTAAAAGTTCAGGCTGCAAGGGAAGAGCCGACGAAGAGGCTCATCACGTGTGTTGTCAGTGTCAGGTCAGGCTGTGCAGAGGAAGGATCCTTGATCAAGGCCTTGGGCACCATCCGTGTGGGAGGGAGGGAGGGAGGGAGGCTCTGCTTGCTGGAGGGCCCTGTGTTGGCCTGGGCTTCATCTCCCACTGAAGGAATTTGCTTGTGCTTCCCTGGAATAAGTGTTGCTTATCTTTTGCCTCCGAGAGAGAAGCTAAGAATGCTTCCAGCATTCCGTCTTTGAGACATGGATTCCTCTTCCCTGCTTGTTGCTTCCGAAGATTCACCCTCCCACTCACTCCACCCACTGAGGATTAAATTTGCTCCCAGTATCTGCACGTTGTGGCTTCTGGGTATTTCAGGGGATGGCCAAATACCTAGAAGTATTGCTTATGGGAAGCAGCAATTTAGTAGGCCTGCTTTAGAAAGTCGGTGGTCTCAGGCAGGGGTGTGCTGCCAGTTGTACGCCCTGCCAGTGGTGTGGGACAGCCTCACCGCACTGGTAGGCCAGTGGGGGTGGGTGACTTGGAGCTGCCCAACAAAACCCGTCGGCTGAGTTGGCTCGCCTGGTCTTGGAAGTCACGCCTGGACAGAAACGGGGAGAAGGCTGCCTGCCTGAGGACAGCCGGCGCAATCCTGGTGCATTTGCAGGAGAAACTGCCGGGGGAACCCGAACTGCCTGGTGGGCATCGGAGAGCATAGCTGGCTGGGGGAGATTGATGAAAACACCTTTCACAACATCGACGATCCAAACTTCGAGAGGAGAAAAAAGGTAAGCAGGTGCGGGAGGGGTCTTCCCGCAGAGCTCAAGTGAAGCGGCTGCTTTTCCTGAGCGGTTTTCTCTACTTGCTTTCAGTTGCTTGGGTTTGCGACATCATATGGGGAGGCCGGAGTGGCGCTGGCTTCCCAAAGGTCCTGAGGGCTTGGCTGTGCAGAGTCTGAGCTAGTGAAGGCTGCCTAGCGGTAGCTGAGAGATTGAGCTGCTGCGGCGAGGATGACGTGGACTGGGTCAAGCGAGGTCTCGCCTGCCTCTTTGGATGCTTTTGCAGTGTGGGGGGGTTAGCATCCCCCCCCCCCGAAGCCCTCCTATGTGTTGGGAAGCTGTTTTGCTATCATGGTGTTATTTTTTTTTTTTTGCATGTAGCCGACTGACCCTCCCTCCCTATGTTCAGGTTTTAGAAGCCGTTTTCGCTTTCCTGGCATGTGCTAGTTTTCAATGCTAGTAACTGCTTTGGGGACTTTACGGAAAGCCAGGAGAAAAGGCTGCTTACGGGAAGTTTTGCCGTTCCTACTTTGCAGCTTTTGAACTGTGGGCTGCCCTGTTACTAACTTGCCCTCCCAGTCAAGACTACCAGAACTGGCATTAAAGGTGGGGAATATATTCTTGAGCAGGGATTCTCTTCCTGGTTGCCTTCAGGTGTATGTGTCTCGAGTCTCAGCATCGCCCAGCCAGCCATAAGTGGCAGTCCAGTGCCTCCGAAGGCTGGGAAAGGAGAAAGAGAGCTGCAGTGCTCTTCTGCGTGGCTCCCCTTCTCCAGTGCCTGATGGTGTTTCCCCTTCCCCCACCAGAATGCCTTTGTGGGCCTCACAAACCTGGGAGCCACCTGCTATGTGAACACCTTCCTGCAGATGTGGTTCTTGAACCTGGAGCTCCGGCAGGCTCTGTATCTGTGCCCAGTCGCCCGCCCCGAGTACGTGACTGCGGAGGGCACGCCAGCAGACAAAGGTCGGTTGGGGCCCTTGCTCCCAGGCAGATGCTTTCGGGCGCTCTGGGAAGGCTCCGTGCAGCGTGACGCCGGAGGAGCTGGCCTTGGAACACGCCCAGCCTGCAGTGTCCCTTGCTGCCCCTTCAGCTGTCCCGAGAGGGACGCTTGTTCCCATTTGAGAGTGAGAGAGGACGGGTGCTCAAGGGCACGCGCAGAGTCCCAGGCAGACGCAAGGCCGTGCGTTGTCAGCTGACGCCCGAGAGCCTTGGGAAGGGAGGCTGCGTGAATTCACGTTGAGGAGAACAGATAAGGCCGCGCAGTGAAACTGGGATAGGAGAGGAGAGACCCCTTGGAGGGGAAGGACAGGCCGGCAAGCGGGGCCGAGCTCTGAGAGCGCTTCCCTCGGCCAGCCTGTGGTGACCTCCTTGGTGCAAGCCGCCTGTGTCACACGTTCCCTTTGCCTTTCGGCAGATTACGAGCCCCAGACCATCTGCGAGCACCTGCAGTACTTGTTCGCCTTGCTGCAGAACAGCCGGAGGCGCTACATCGATCCGTCGGGGTTTGTTAAAGCGCTGGGCCTGGACACGGGCCAGCAGCAGGTAATGCAGGGCCAGCGTACGCAGCGTCGCTTGGGAGAGTCTCTTCATCGCACCCATGGCATGTAACGCGGAGGCGAAGCGTGAATGCTTCCCGTGCTCCGCTTCCCGTGCTCATCCAGGAAGACCCAGGCGCGCGCGTGTTCACCTCCTCCCAACTTTTAGGGCACTATAAGATGAACAAGTGCCTGAAGGGCTGAACTCGAAACCATCCCCTGGGTTGCATCCCCTATTTTGTCAAAGTTAATTTCAGATTTGCAGCAGAGACTCAAGACCATTTTAAGCCAGTCCTGAAAGAGCGGCACTGGGAGCCAAACGTTTCCTGGCCTCGTTCACGAGGTTGGCCTTGAGCCAGAAAGTCCTAGGAAGCATTTGACTTGGTGCCCGGACAGAGCGGCTGTCTCATTACGGACCTTCCCAAGTGTTAAGGCCAGAAGGAGCCCTGTGGAGGCTTGTTTTTCACTCTTGGCTACTCGGAAAACTCCGAAGCTTTGTTTTTTTAATCTTGCCTTTTAAGGTACAGAGCAGAATCCTGGGGCATTTTAACACTTTGAATGTTACATCCACTTAAGGCTGTGCTGTGTGCAGCCATGGCTGCCTGTGAGCAGGTAAGGCAGCATCACCCGTGTGAACGAGCGTGTGACGTCTCTCTTAGGATGCGCAGGAGTTTTCCAAGCTGTTCATGTCGCTGTTGGAGGATACGCTCTCCTCACAGAAGAACCCCGACGTGCGGGACATTGTCCAGAAGCAGTTTTGTGGGGAATACGCCTACGTCACCGTGTAAGTCTGTCTTGCTGGGGCCACTCTGCGGCTCAGCTCCGAACGTTTCCAGTGCCGGCATCCGCTGGCCACCTGCTGCTCTCGTCCCCGCCGTGCTCATTGACGGCTTCGTTTTCAGGTGCAGCCAGTGTGGCCGAGAATCCAAACTCATGTCCAAATTTTATGAGCTCGAGCTGAATATCCAGGGCCACAAGCAGCTGTCGGACTGCATCACAGAGTTCTTGAAGGTACAAGCCTTTCCGGGCGAGTTTCTCTGTTGTTTGCATTATGCCAGAAGTTAAGCACCTGCAGGTCTTGCTTTCTGTGTTTTCCGGATTCTGGGGCACTTTTCATCCTATCGTCCGCTCACCGAGGGGACTGGGTTTCTTGTTTTCCAAGCTTAAGTCCTTACACATTTGTGTAAATGCTCACATCAAAAAATGTGCAAAGAGTGTCCAGAATGCGACCTTTCAGTCGGTGGCGGGGCAGGTGCTTGGACCTGCAGGAGAAATTGAGCGATCGGGGTGGTGCTTGGCACTCTGCACATAGGTTTCATCTCCAGGGGGTCTGGAGCCCCCCTAAACTGATCGCCCTTTTTGATCTTTTCCGGCCAGGAGGAAAAACTGGAGGGGGACAACCGCTACTTCTGCGAGACCTGCCAGAGCAAGCAGAACGCCACCCGGAGGATCCGCCTGCTCAGCCTGCCCTGCACCCTCAACCTGCAGCTGATGCGCTTCGTGTTTGACAGGTGCGCCTCTGTGCTGGCACCCTGGGTGCCCCCTTCCCAGAGCGCTGTGGGCTCCCTGGCGGCGGCCCTCACTGCTGAAGCGGCACCAGCCCTCCCGGCACGGGGACTGGGACGAGGGGGTGCCAGTGGGAGTCGGAACGTGGGGAAGGGGCAGGCCTGGGAGAATGCGGTGGGCGGCCGACGCCCCTTCTGATCACGTTTCTGCCTTTAGGCAAACGGGCCACAAGAAGAAGCTGAACACTTACTTCGAGTTCTCCGAATTGCTGGACATGGAGCCCTTTTTGGAAGACAGAGGTGGGCCGCGTGTGACGTGCCTTCGGTTCTCTACAGGGAGATGCCACGTGCTCTCTCAAAGTAACTGGTGCAGCTGGGTTGCTCTTGCTTAGGTGTATTGCTAAAATTATTAACGGGTGGCTTTAGAACCCCGAAAGGGGCCAGCAGGGCTTAAAACTTGCGCACAGAAAAATGAAGGAGGGGGCGGATCACCTTTAAAAGCAGCACCTTGAGCCAGTGTACTTAAAGTCACTCAGAGCCCATGCTGAGCAACACTTCGGGGGTCTCAAAATGCACTGCAGAAAGGAGGTTCGCCCAGAACTGCGCCCAGGGGGCCGGGCCGACTGGCTCGGGGAAGAGCGGGCCCGCCCGAGCCGGCCTCGCGGGGCAGCGGGCGCGGCTTCCGCGCGCCTGAGCCAGCCCTCTGCTGTGCCCCAGCCAGCGTCTTTGTCTACGAGCTCAGTGCCGTCCTGATCCACCGCGGCGTGAGTGCCTACTCGGGCCACTACATCGCCCACGTGAAGGACCCGCAGACGGGGGAGTGGTACCGGTTTAACGACGAGGAGATCGAGAAGATGGAGGGCAAGAAATTGCAGCTGGGGGCGGAAGAAGACCTAGGTACAGTTGTGAGTTCTTCTCTTTCCTCCTCGCTTTTCCGGGGCCCGTGCGCTTGGGAGTGAGGTCCGCCGAGGGCCGTGGGGCTTCCTTCCGAGGCGGAGCGCCTCACGTGATGCCATCCGGCTCCGGCTCCGGCTCCAGCTCCCATGCGGGCCACACTCGGCGCTGTGCTGAGCGCTCGGGTCCCACCTGCCCGGGGTGGGGTGGCCCCTGCAGGTGGCTCAGCCAGCGTGAGGGGTGCGAGGAGCCGCTGGCCGGAGCGTTCGGAGGCGTCCTGGGGCTCAGTGCTCCCTCACTGGGCACCTCCAGCAGGCAGCTCCTGGCTGCTCTTTAGTGTGGTGTTTGCGGAGCTGCTTGGGGCAGGCGCTGGGCCTTTCAGCCGGACATGAGGCAGCCGCATGCATTCTGGAAGTCGCCCGCTGCTGCCCCCCGCCCCCCCCCCCCCGGCTTGTGTCGGCGCTGCCCAGGCACCCAGAATGGGAGGCTGGCCACGGCTGGGGAGGAAGCGGCTTCCAGGGCAGGCAGCAGCCGTGCGAGGGTCCCCAGGCAGGTGATGGCGTGAGAGGAGGCGGGGGACCGGCTTGCAGGCGCCTCCCTCCGCAGAGGCTTGCGATTCCCAATGGTGGCTCGCTCTGGCTCCTGTTCTCCACCAGAGCCTTCGAAGTCCCAGACCAGGAAGCCCAAATGCGGGAAGGGGATGTACCGCTCTCGGAACGCCTACATGTTGGTGTACAGGCTGCAGACGCGGGAGAGGTCGCTCACTGTGGAAATCCCAGGTACTGCTTCTGGGGGGTGTGAGCGCGAGCAAGGGGGCCCCTCCGCTGGCCCTGTGTGGGCTGGCGTCTCGTGCTCTGGGCACCCAGACGGGCCTCCTGCCACAGCCGCCTGGGCCAGAAGGTGGGGGGCGGGTGCTGGTCAGGCAGGAGGGCGCTGCGTGCAGGGCGGAGGCCCAGGCACTTGCCGGTGCTGCGCTGCGCTGCGCTGGGGAAGGCCCTTCGGGGCAGAGGGCGCCGTCCTTCACGGTTTCCTGCCCGCTGCCCCCCCAGCTTTCCTGCAGGAGCTCGTGGAGCGGGACAACAGCCGGTTCGAGGAGTGGTGCAGCGAGATGTCCGACATGCGCAGGCAGAGCGTGGCCCGGGGCAAGATCAAGCACGAGGAGGTGAAGGAGCTCTACCAGAAGTTGCCCGCCAAAGCTGGTCTGTAAGATCTTCTGTCCCTAAAACCTCTTGTGGTGGTGCGCCGCTTTGGGGGCGGGGCTGTGCTAGGCGCGCGAGGGGGGAACGCTCCTCTGCCCCACGCAGGCAGCCAGTGGCCCCGGCCCCCCGTCTCTCTCAGGCGTGGTCTGCTGCATGGCAGCGTCCCGAGGCGCTCGGCGGTCTGCGCCAGGCTGCCGGCACGAGGGGCTGGCTGCGAACCCTCCCCACGCGCAAACGCCCCGCAAGAAGGCGAGCATGGGTGCTCAGCCGGCCCCCCGTCGCGCTCGCCCTTTGCCTGCAGGGGGCTCTCCCGTGTTCGGGAAGGCGAGCCGCCTCCGCATCTCACCGCAGCTGCAGCCCGGGCAGCCTCCTTTCCTTGGTCTCGGTCCACGCCGCCCCGTGGGGCAGAAGGCCCTGAGCGGAGAAGGGGAGAGGGCGGGCAGAGTGTCTGCGTTGCTCCGGAGAGGGCAGAGGGCAGGGATGGGGCCTGGGGCCCCCTGCCCACACGCTGATGGATGGGGGGCTTCTGGGGGGTGAGCTAAGCATTCCCGCGGAGCCTCCCTGAATGCAGCCGCCTCCCGGGGCAGGCGAGGTGGCTGCTGCCGGCTTCGGAAGCACCCTTCTGCCCCCCGCGGAGGGCTGGGGATCACGCGTGGATCGTGACCGGGGGACGAGAGTCCCTGCCAGATCCTCCGCTCCCCAGTAGTCCTGTAAGCGGGGTTCCGCCAGGTCCCTCGCCTCACGGGCGACGGGCAGCCCCGCGGCTCCCCGGGTGGAGGAGCCTGGGCCCGGCCGCGGGGGCATGGGCGAGGGCCGCTTCGGGCGCGTGAGGGCCGCACCCCGCGGGGGAGCTGACAGGCCACCGCCTCCTTGCAGGCTGCCCCTACGACTTCGTGTCTCTGGAGTGGCTCCAGCAGTGGCTGGACGAATCGGCGCCGCCCAGGCCCATCGACAACACGGCCTGCTTGTGCCTGCACGGCAAGCTGCACCCCAATAAAATCCCCGCCGTCAAGCGGGTCTCCGAGCACGTGGCCGACTATTTCTACAAGCGCTACGGAGGGGGGCCGCGGTTGACGGGTGAGTCAGGCTCTCTGGCCCATCTCCCCGTAAAGGGCCTGGGGCCGCCGGCCGCTCCTCATGCAGGGCCCGGCCGGGGTCTCCTCCTCTGCGGGGATGGGGGGGTGGGGGGGAGAGTTTCCGGGCAAACCGGAAATGCCCCCTGCTCAGAGGAGGGGCTGCGCTCTCCCCTGCTGGGCCCTGCCCGCCGCAGGAGGTACTGCTGGCCCGGGCGCAGAGCGCAGCCCCGGCCCTGAGGGGGCCCCGGCCCGCCCTGCCCTGTCTGCCCCCAGCGAAGGCGCTCTGCAGGGACTGCGTGGTGGAGCGGTGCCGGGTGCTGCGGCTGAAGAGCCAGCTCAACGAGGACTACAAGGCGGTCTCCAACCTTCTGAAAGTGGCCGTCAGGGGGTAAGCGGGCCTCGGGGAGGGCCAGGCGGCCTCTGCCACCACGGGCAGCGGCTCGGCGGGGGCCCCTAGGCGGGTCCTGCCCTCCTCCCTGCGGTCCCTGCGGGAAGCCTGCTTCCTGAGTCTCGCATGGTCTTGTCCCGCCTTGCAGGAATGACGGGTTTTGGGTCGGGAAGATGTCCTTGCGGAGTTGGCGCCAGCTGGCGCTAGAGCAGCTGGACTGCCCAGATGAGGACGGGGACGCCCGGAACGGCAATATGAACGGCGATGCGAAGAGCAAAGGTGGGCCTGGCCCCCCCTCCCCTCCCCTCCCCTCGGCATGCGGAGCCTTGAGCTGGGCTCCTGCCCTTGGCGAGAAGCAGCCTTGGCGAGCCCGGGGCGGGGGGCGGCCACTGCTGCATGCAGCGCTCGGAGGGAGGGGGTCTCTCACCTGGCCCCCCGCCTTCTCCCCTCCCTCACCAGATGAATCCAGCTCAGAAAAGCGAGACGAAGAGGAGCTGAAGTTCAACGAGGACATTGTTTGCCCGCATGGTAAGCAGGCTTCTCGGCAACGCATCCTTGATGTTTGCATTTCTTGGAAGTTTGCCCTTGCCAGGAAAACAGAATCCCCCATCAGGTTGCCAGGCTACGAAGGCGTGGAAGGAGGGGGCGGGGGGGCAGGCAGGTGCTTGGGGTGGGCAATGGTGGCGGCCACAGATTGTCAGGGTGCTGGAAACCCATCTGGATGCTGGAGGCGCTTATTCTGGCTGCTTTTAAGAGTGGTTTCCAAGCGATGGTGGAGACAGAACGGCCCTCCCTTCCTCTCTTCACTCTCTCGGGAAAACCTGGGCTGTTCCTCCCCGGTGTACAAAGTCCAAGGGAAATCTAGGAAAGGTTTCGTTTTCCCGCCCAGTCTTTCCCTGGAAAATCGGGGTGTGGCAGGTCCCGAGTAAGGGCTGCTGTCCCCAGCCGGCAGCGTTGCTCTCCAGGCCCCATGGGGAGGCGTCCTGCCCGGCCTGGGGGCGTCTGAGGCAGGGAGCGCTTGCTCCGCCAGGTGAGCCTTCCAGGCGAGTGCTTGCCTGGCCCTTTGAAAGGGCCCAGATGGTGAGAGGACGGCGGGGAAGCGGGCCGGGCGAGCACGGCTGTGGGTGGGACGCCAAGGCACCTCGCGGGCACACGTGCCTCACTGCCCCCGGCTGCCTTCCAGCCCACGGGGACCGGTCGTGCACGTGCCAAAGCGGATTGTGCTCCCCGAGGCTTTGCTAAGACAGCTTCGTGCCTGCGCCCACGTGCGTTTCTCCGCTCCGGAACCACGTTGTGTTCCAGAAAGAGGCGGCCCCTCTCCTCTCCTCTCCTCTCCTCTCCGTGCCTCTGCTCTCCCTTGAGCAAGTGCGGGAGCTGAGACAAAGCGCTTCCCCCTTCCGTTAATCGCCGCCTGCGTTCCATAATTGGCCCGTAACCTTAGAGACCGCGCAGAAAGGGCTGGTGCGGGAACAGCGGGCCCTCCGGCGTCTTGGCTCTGCCAGGCCAGGGGGGCGGTGATCGGCAGAGGGACGCCATCGCCTGGCTCTGCGCTGGGGGGTCCCTCCTGCATTGCCTCCCCACTTGCTGGGAGCACCCCTTTGGGGTTCCAGTGCCATGCAGGGGAGGGGTGACATGTCTCCCTCTGAACTCCCTCCGGCCCAGGCGTGCTTTTGGCCCTCCTCACTCTCCGCATTCAGCGTTTGCTGCCTCCTGGGCCACCCCGCTCGCTGCCGTTCCAGCCCCCGGGTCTCGCTTCGGGGAGAATCGCGCCGGGCTCCTGCGAGGCAGCCGCATCTCTTTCCTGGGGGGCAGTCAGGGTGGGAGCGTCTAGAAGAGAGGTGGGCGACCCGAGGGGCCCCACTCCCCTTGGGCTGCTGCCCCGCCTGCCCCGCGCATCATGCGCCCGAACGCTCCCACCCGGCTGCCACGCGCCGCCCCCCAGTCTCTCCCCGCCGAGCGCCGCAGCAGCCCATCCCGCCGCCTCGCTCCTTCCCCCCCAGGCAACCTGTGCATCTCCGAGAACGAGCGGAGGGCTGTTTCCAGGGAGGCCTGGGAGAAGCTCCGGTGCTACTTCCGCTTCGCCCCCGAGTTCCCGAGCGGCAAGGACTCCTGCTCCCAGTGCAAGGTGTGTGGCTCGCGCTTGCCACGGCTGCTGGAGGTCTCCAGCGTGCAGGGCTGCCCCGGCGCACGTGTGCCGGCACCGCGGGGACGTGCCGGTGCCGAGGCGGCCTGCGCACATCCCTGCCCCGGGCCTTAGCTCACGCAGGGCCCAGCTCCTCTCGAGGCCAGGCCGGGCGGCTGCTGCAGGAGCCGTTCTCAGCTGCCGAGACTTGGCACCTCTGCCCGCCGCTGCCAGGGGGCCGGAGGGGAGGTCCCGGTGGTGCGCTTTGAGGCCTGGCCTTCCCCGCAGCCCCCGGGGAGTCAGCAAGGCGGGCGGCGGTGCTGAGCGTCCTGCACACACGCGAAGGGGCGCCCCCGCTGGGAGCGCTGCGCCCCTGCCCGCCTTGCGAGGGGCTGCCGTCGTGGGCGAGAGAGCCCCCAGGCGCCCGGCTTCAGCGGCAAGCGTTTCCGCAGATCTTGGAGCGCGAAGGGGAGGAGAACGAGGCCCTGCACAGGATGATGGCCGGGGAGCAGAAGGCGTCGCTCCCCAACCTCTTCCAGGACAAGGGCCGGCCGTGCCTCAGCAGCTGGCCAGAGGTACCCCCCGCCATTCCGCTGCCCCCTCCGCGTGCCCCCCGCCCTGTCGGAGGACCGCAGCCCACTTCCCGGGAACAGATCCGCCAGAGTCGCTGGCTTTGTCCGTTCAGCAGCGACACTGCTGGGAGCGGGGGGGCCAGTGGGGGCCCTGCCATCCCGTGGCCCTGCATGTTTCCCCGCCAGACCCCAATTTTCCCTGGCGTTCCGCAGCCCTCGTTAGCGTGGCCGTCGCTCTCGGGGAGGCGGAGGACCCTCCCCGAAGGGGGGTGTCACGGGACTGAGCGCTTGTCTCATTTCAGGAGGTCGGGGAGCTCTACGTGGTCTCCAGGTTCTTTGTGGAAGAGTGGAGGAAGTTTGTGAGGTGAGGGGCCTCTGCCCTGCGGCTCCCGGGCTCCCCCCCCCCGTCCTCCGCTGCTCCGTGGCCCCAAGCGGGACCACAGGGGCTTCCTTCCTTCTCCTCGGGCCTCCCAGCCCAGTATTGTCAGCACGGACTGGCAGCAGTACCGCTCCCACCAGGGCTTCAGGCAGGAGTCCCCCCCCCCCCCCGACCCCCCGTTCCCCCCCCGCCCCCCCCCCCCCCCCCGTCTTCCCCCAGGAGGCCAACCCGCTGCAGCCCAGTCTCCTCGGTGGGGAACCGCGACCTCCTCTGCCCGCACGGCGGTCTGATGTTCACGTTCGCTTCCATGACCAAAGAAGACTCCAAACTGTGAGTTGGTGGCGTCTGGTTGTCCATTGAGCAGCAGCCGGGGGGGCACCCGAAGGAGGCGCCTGCTGCGTCCCCCCCCCCCGCCCCCGGGCCTGCCGGCGCTGGGCCACAGCCGCACTCTGTGGCCCGCACCCCCCTCCTCCAGGCCAGTGGCTCGGGGCCCTGGTCAGCTGGAGCCTTGGGGGGCCGGGGGGGCGGATGGGGTGCCCCCTCCCCGCCCAGCGCAGGCCACATGCTCTGCTTCTTGGCACAGTATAGCTCTGATATGGCCCAGCGAGTGGGAGAAGATCCAGAGGCTCTTTGTGGTGGACCACGCCATCAGGGTCATCCGGAGGCGCGCCCCCGAGACCGGCCCGGAGAGCCCGCCCTACATCACGGAGCCTGGTGAGTGTGCCGGGGGGGGGGGGCAGAAAGGCCCCCCTGCAGCGCCTGCCCCCTGCCGGCCCCGTCCGGTCCTGGCGAGCTCCTCCTCTCCGGTCTGCCGTGAGACGCCAGAGAAGCCCTGCTGGGCCGGGCTCCGGGACCGTGCAGTCCAACGCTCGCTCCGTGGGGCGGCCCCTTTGGGCTCTGGTGGGGCGGGAGAGGGGGAGACATGCCTCCCCCTCCCCGCTTTCTTTTGCCATGCAAAATGTTCAGCGTCTCTGTCATGTCCCCCCTTTTCCAAAGCTAAACAGTCCCGATTGCCGTAACCCAGCCCCTCTTCACGGAGGAGCCGCTCCGGCCCCCGGACAGCCTTCCCTGCCCTCTGCTGCGCCTTTCCCAACCCGGTGGTGCCCTTTCTCAGACGTGGCTTCCACAACCGAGCGCACTGTTCCACAGGCGGCTGCACCAAAGTCGTGCCGAGGGGAAGTCCTCATCTGGCCGTACTCTCTTCAGCTCGGGGCTTGCCCCTTTCGCAGCACTCGGGCGCTGCGTCCTTCACAGGCACGTGCAGCTCGCCACGAGCGCGCGGCTTGCTCCCTTCCCTCCTGTGCTTTGGTAATCAGAAACATTTTTCTCTTCGGCCCCGAGGGACGATTTATCCTGAGCGGCATTGCTTCTCGGCTCTCGGTCGGCTTCACCCCCGGCTTCAGCCGCGCAGCTGCTTTGCCACCGTTTTTATTTCCTGCCTCAGCAGCCCGGCGCTATTTCAGTTCTCGTGAGCAGGAGCCCGACCTCCCCTCCTGGGCAGGCCTGGCCTGGCGCGCCCCAGAAAGGCCCCCAGGGCCTAGCACACCACCCGTGCCGTGGGGCTCCCCAGGTCCAGCCGGCCCGGCGTGCAGGAGAGGGAGCGCTTCACAGAACGCCGCCTTGGTGCGCCCAAAGCTGGCTTCCAGATCCTTTCCACTTGGTCTCCCCGAGTCACTGGGACCAGTGTGGGCCACCAGCTGTACGCCTGGCTCTCTGCAAAACCGCCCAGAGGGCACATGAGGTCCGCACCAGGCGTGACCTCCAGGCCCCTCTCTGGCCAACCCAGCCAGCACAGCCTTGCCAGGGAGCTGCAGGGCGCCCAGCAGCCCCCGCCTCCCCCCCGGCTGCGTCCTGCCCATCTCTTCCCACCGGCCTCAGCAGGCTGCTGTCGCTCTCGGGGCTTGTCCCTTCCGTGCTTTGCGCAGAACATCGCCCCTCCCGCACCCCTCGAGGCTCCCCGGGAAGCGCCGGGCCTCTCAGTCAGCGCCGCTTTGCATCCCGTTGGAGCTCCGACAGCCGAGCTCCCTCCAGCGGGAGGGCCCCTGGCCCTGCGCTCTGCCCCCCTCCGCGATGATGCATGCGCGCTTGAGGCGCCTGGCGGCCCTGTGCCTCTCCCTGCCCTCAGCACGCCGGGTCTTGCGCACCCACACGCTGCCGGCACACGGCGCGCAGACAAAGCGGTGCGGCACGCGCATCCCCAGGGCTCCCGTGGGTCGGCAGCTTCCCAGGACCCAGCGTTCCGTTCCCTCTCGCCTTCCCCACGGCTCACCGTTCCTGCGGCTCCTCCTCCACGGCTGGCGTCCCCTGTGGCATTCTCATTCAGCTCCCGGTGGGCCTTTTTGGGGCCTTTTCTGTCCCTCCTCCCCCCCCCTGGGGCCTCTCCCCCCCCCGCCCCCAGGCCATCTAATCCCTCTTGTTTGGTGCCCCTCGGAGGCGGCCCACGCACAGAGAAGCGAGCGCTCTCGGGAGGAGGAGTCATCAATTAACGAGCTGAAATACAAGCCTAGCTATAAAAAGGGCAGGAAACCAGCAGTGCCCCGACCCCGTAAATCGCGTTGGCAAATGGCAAATAAAACGCCTCATCTAAAATGCTCTTAGGAAAATGATCTACCGGGAGACTGTTAAAAAGACGCTAGTGCAGCTGGGGGTTCAGATGTGCCCTCTTTCCCCCCATAATGGAATTTTGCAGCTGTGTGTGTAAAACGGTGTTGCCGTTTCCCAGCAGGGCGTTGACGGTCGGGCCGGGACTGGGTCCAGGCCCGGCTGTCCTGGTTCCCGGAGGGGGCCAGGATGCCGGCGTTGCCTTGCCGGAAGCTCTCCTTGCCTGCTGCTCGGCCCCCGTGGGGGCGCCTCGGCTTTCTAGAAGGGGGAAGTGCGTGTCGGGATGTGCCTGACAGTCGCTGCTTGCTGGAAATGGGCTGGGACCAGGGGAAGTGGGGCGCACAGCCCAGCCCTGCAGTGTGATTCCAGGTGTTTGGGGGTTTCATTTCGGTGTCACGGTGTAAGCGGGCATTCCCTGAACGGCTGCCCTGCAGCTGACCGCGGCTCCCATCGCTCTCGGCTGCCTGACTAGGGATGGGAGCTCCCGTCTGGCACGGCCGCAGGGTGCCCGGTGGGGGAAGCCTGCTCCAAGCATCCCGAGAACCGTCTGTGGGAACGGCCTGCGATTTGTGCATCACGGAAGGGGCCCCGGATGGCTGCCGGTGCCGGTCTAGGCTGGGGTCTCTGCAGCCGCCGCCTTCCTGTCCCCGCAGAGCTGTGCTTGGACTGCAGAGAGGGCCTCCTGTGCCAGCAGCAGAGGGACCTGCGGGAGTACGCCCAGGCCACCGTCTACGTCCGCAAGGTGGTGGACAGCAAGAAGGTACAGCAAGAAGGGCGCGAGGGCTTCCGCGGCGGCTCGGGCCGTCTGCAGAAAGAGCGAGTCCCGTGACTTGCCACAACTGGCAGCCGGGCATCTTCCACGGCCAGCGACAGCGCGTCCAGGGCCGCCGGAAGCCACTTTATTCAGAGACTGTGTCTCCGCCATCAGCCAGGCTGGTGCGGCCGCTCTGCAGGGCCGCCTCCGGGGCTCGCCTGGGGCTCGCCTGCATCCCTTCTGCTTGAGATGCGGGGATTGGCCCCAGCCCTGCTCCTTTTCCCCACAGGTGCTTCTCTGAAAGACCTGGCGGGACACTAGCTTCTCCCAGTCCATTCTGTGTGTGTGTGTGTGTGTGTGTGTGAGTGAGAGAGAGAGAGAGAGAGCGCGCTCCACTTTTCTGTCAGCAGCAGCAGCAGCTTTCAGAGCCGCTTCTCGGGCAGAACGCATTAGGCGGCTGCCCCGCTCCTCCCTCGGGCGCAGGCCGGTCCTGCCTCCCTGGAGTGCCGCTTGTAAGGCAAGAGCGCTGGCCCGGATGCCTCCGAATGACAGCCACTCGGAGATCGCGGGGCGCCTGCAGGCCGCGGCCGTCCTTGGCCTTGATCTGCGAGGGCGGCTGGCTGCAAGCTTGTTCCTTCCTCAGCCGCTTAGGTTGCGTGCCTCGGCCTGGAGTGGGTGCAGGCGAGATAGTGCGTCTACAGCCCTTCTGGGGAGCAGAAACTGGGGGGGGGGGGGGACAAGGCTCTCGGCAGAGAGGAGGGGCGAATAAGGCGATGCCTTCGCCCAGGTCCCGTGGGCCGTGAGCAGCCCCCAGCTGCCCCCGAAACGAAATGGGGGTGTTTCAGAGGGGAGAAAGCCGCTCTGAGACCCCCAAAGAGTCAAGGCATCGTCCCATCCCACCAGCGTCTCTGATGCTCTCTGGGGACCTGCCCCCCTTTCCCAAAAGTTTGGATGGGGCAAGGCACCTCCTGATCGATGTTCTCGCCGTCCAGCCCTGGCGCCCCGAAGGGCCCCCTTCCCCGGGAAGCTCAGTGCCGCTCTCCAGAAGGTGTTCGGCGGTCCCCAGCGGGTTGGGCACGGCCATCGCGCTCCTGAATCCCGCGGAGCTCGCCCAGCCCGGCCCTCGCAAGCGAGCGAGCGAGCGAGCGAGCGAGCGAGGCTCAGCGGAGTTTGCTTTCCCGTGTCTTGGTGGGTGAATGCAGGTCATGAAGGACGCTGCCCCAGAGCTCAACGTGAGCAGTTCGGAGGCGGAAGAAGAGCGGGAGGAGGCCCGGCTGGAGGGGGAGCCGGACCCAGACTTCAGCCAGGTGCGCTCCGCTTCCCTTCGCTCTCGAGAGCGGCCGAGGGCACCGCCCCGGAGCATGTCTGATCCCTCCCCGTGGCGTGGGCAGCCTGCGGCCATCCAGCAGGGTTGGGTTCCGGATCCCGTCGGCTCAGCCACAGCGGAAGTGGAGAATGATGGGCCAGGGTTCTCGGCCTGCGACTGGACGTCCAGCGTCGCCTGCACGTGGCTGGAGCCACCCAGCCGCCGCGGTTCCTGCGCCGCCCAGGGCTTGGCGGGGTGGCCCTCCCGCGCCCGGCGAAGCTGCAGCCGGAGGGCTCCGGGGCAGAGAAGCCGCGCAGCCCTTGGCCCAGAGCCACGCTGCCGGCCGTGCCGCTTCCACTCCAGCCCAAGGACGTGGCCAAGGCACCCTGCGAGCCCCTCTGCGTTTTTGAGGGAGCGCCTCTCTGCATACGCCCGAGGCCTGCAAGGGGTCGTCCTGTCCTTCCGTTGGAAGGAGCCGGGCAAGGCCTTCTCTGCTGCGGCACCTGGTGCAGCTCCCCTCCCCAGCCGGCACCAGCACGGCTTGCCTTCTGCCGCCGAGTTCTGGCCACTCCCCGAGTCTGACGGACTGACAGCAGCTCAGTTCAGGCTTGTCTTCTCGGCTTTGGTGCGGATGGCACTTACCGGGTGTTGTGGGTGGCTTTCGTGCTCCCCAGCCTGAGATCCAGTCAGTTACGGGGGGGGGTTAGAAGTACTTACATCCCTCCGTGAAGCAAAGGCCGAAGCCTCTCACATCAGAATTAAGGCCCGGGGATTTTTCCCGCGGGAGTGAGCTGGTGTGCGGCTCGGGCAGGCTGAGCGCGCGTCCTCCTCGCTTCCAGGCCAACAACGCCACCAAGCGGCAGAAGGTCTCGCACCCAAACTACGCTCCCTGCCAAAAGCAGGGCATCCGGCGGAGCACGCGGCACCGGAAGGTCCGCGGGGAGAAGGCCCTTCTGGTCTCGGCAAACCAGACGCTGAAGGACCTGAAGATCCAGGTGAGGGGCCCTCGCTTCCGCTCGGCCCGGGGGCCCGTCTTGCTTCTCGCTGGGTCAGGAGCCGAAGGGCTGCCTGCCGTGCAGGCGCCACCATCCGGGGAAGGGACCCTGCCGCCGTGCTTGGGGCGTGCCCGGGGCCGGCTCTTTCCGCGGGCTGCTTCTGTGCGGTGTCCTGCAGCCGCACCACCAAAGCCTCTGCGGCTTGTCCGGCACAGATCATGCACGCCTTCTCCGTGGCGCCCTTCGACCAGAACCTGTCCATCGATGGGACGATCCTCACCGATGACTCGGCCACCCTCGGCAGCCTCGGAGTCACTCCGGAGTCTGTGGTTTTGTTGAAGGTAATGCGGAAGGCCGGCCGGCCGCACCAGGTTTCCTTCTGTCTGGAGGCTGCTGGCGGAAGTCGTCTGCGGCGGGGCCAGACTGGACAGTCCACCCGCCGCAAACACCACGCACGGCTCTTCTCCCTGCGGGGGGGACAGGCCTGGCCTGGCTGGGCAGGGGGGGCTGTGCAAGGCGCCCAGAGCCGAGGGGCCAGCAGGCATGCTCATTGGCAGCCTGGCCGGGGCCCTCCAGCTGGGGCTCAAATTCCCCCTGACGGCCATGGATTCCAGTCCATGCCTGTAACTCAGTGCGGGGGGGCACTTAGAGTTGTTGGCCACTGGCAGGGGCATGAAACCTGCAGGGGCTTGGCTGAGCCATGGGGGGCGGGATCCAGGCCTTGGGCTGGGAGCCTGCCGGGCCATCGAGCAGAAGTCGCGCACCCTGAGAGCCACTGGCCCTCATGACTGACGTTCCCCCACAGGCTGACGAACCGATCGTGGATTACGCAGCAATAGATGATGTCATGCAAGGTAAAACCACCCCCAGGGCCCCCCCCCCCCCCCCCCCCCCCCGCCCCCCCCCCACCCCACCCCTCTCCCCTGTCCCGGGTCAAAGGACCCGAACGGGGAGCCCTCCAGGCCCCCGGGGGGAGCAAGGGCCTCCAGGTGCCGGCGGGCTCCCTTCCCCGAAGCGCGTTCTGACGCCTGTTTTCCTTTCCAGTCTGCATGCCTGAAGAAGGGTTCAAAGGTAAGCTGCCCCCCACCTCCCCTCTGGGGCTCACGCCTCGCCCACAAAGCGCCCCACGGAGCCGCTCCTCCTCTTCCCCTCCAGGGACCGGTCTCCTCGGACACTAATGGCGGACAGCGGCTCCTGGCGGGAGAAGCAGCCCAGGCAGGGGACGCTGCAGACCCGGCTGGGGTTTCCAGGAACGGGGGGCCAGCTGCACGGCCCCGATGGCGGGACACCATTCCGAAGACCACCCCGATGCCTTGCGTCAGAACGGACCACGCTCCGGGGCAAGAGCGCCCGAGGGGCTGCCTCTGACCCTCGCCCCATCCGCCGAGGCGGAGCACCGAGGAGCGGCCGGGAATGGCTCGCCCGCCTTCGCGGGGAAGAGGAGGAGGAGGAGGCCGGTGGTCCCTGCACTGTTCTTTGGCTTCCTGCCCTCCAGGCCTCCCCTCCGGCCCGGCCGCCGGCTCTGGACCCTCCCCGCCTCCTTGGCCTCGTGGCTCACGCCGTTCAGCTCGTCCAGCTTCAGCCACGCTCTGCGGGCGCCCAGGATTGGAAGCCATAGCCCTTCCGCCGGCCGCCCCTGAGAGCCGAGCCGGCAGGTGGGGAGGGGGCAGGAGGGCGGCGCGCCAGGGCAGGCCACGCGCCCCCGAACGGCCCTGCTTCCGGCATCCGGATCACCCGCGCAGCCTCGGCGTCTCCGGGAGAGCCGGCCCAGCACCGACGGAAGCGCCTTGTGTAGTGTGGGGGGCGCAGGAGGAGCCTTGGCCTGGGAACTTTGCGCCAGCTCCGCTCCTGCTCCTACTTGGACGGGGGCCGGGGCACGAAGGCAGCATGCGGGCGTCCTTCACGCTCGCCTGCGCCTGGGCTGCTGCGGGGTGACGCACGCGCTCCCTCCCGGGCGGCAGGGATGTCTCCGGAGGCCGCTTCCCCGCGGCCATTCCTGCAGCAGGGGGGATGCCCCCCGGCCTTTCGAGTGGCTGGGGAGGGAGGGGTGCGGCGAAGGCATCTCTTCTCCTTCTCTTGTAGCAAGCTGTACATTTCTCGGCAGTCCTATCATAATCTCTGTTTGCTGTTCCGGAGGGGGAGGAGGGGGCGGGTGGGAGGCGGCCGGCAAGAGGGGGAGACCTGCGAGGTGCGGAGCCGGGAGGGCTGGGCGCTGCGGCTGCTCCCCTCTGCTTCGGCCGGGGGCTTGGCTCCGGGCTGCTGCCTGGGCCGTGTGCTTTCTCTGCCTCTTTCTCGCTCCTTTTTGTGAAGAGGTGGGACATGGAGCTCGGCTGGTCTTACTCTTTCCCAAGGTAAAGAGTGCAGAACAATCCAGAAGCCTTTGCTAGTGTGCGCGAGGCAGCCTCCCCCCTCCCTCCCCCCCCCCCACAAAGCCAGGCCTGGAAGGGGCGTCGTTTGCTCTCGATGGACGCGGCCACGCACACGCACCCTCCCTGCCCTTCCCTCTCCGGGTCCCTCCGACTTCCTGGCCGAAAGTGTCTGTCTCGAGTCACGGTGCAAAGGCTGACCCACCACACCGGAACGCGTGTACATGCATACATGCATACATGCGTGCGCGTGCAAAGAGATGGGCAGACAGCGAGGCACTTCCATATGATGCCACCGGACAGGTGGGACAGGTGCGGGCAGGGGCTCCCCGGCCGTCCTCCCCACCTGTACTTGCAAAACGTTTTGGACCAGCTTTCCAAGCCTCATTAAAGTGTGTTCACGTGGAGGGGTCTCATCTGGTTTGTGCCGTCTTGAGTTGCTGCAAAGCGCCCCCCCCGCCCCCCCACGCGGGACATCGCTGTTCCCTTGCCACCTGCTGCAACCAGCCGACCTAGGCGCTTCCTGGATCCGGACTAAAAGCGCCCCCCCCCCCCGCCTCACGCAAGCTCCTCTTGCCGCGATCGATCGACGCGAGACGCTTCAGCACTAGGAGACGTTCCGGCTGCAGTTTTAAACGTGTGAGAGTGCATTTGCATCCGATTCAGCAGGGGAGCGTCTGCAGTGGGTTCCCGGAGCATTTCTGCCTGGCAGGATGGACGCTGGACCGGGTTGGGATATGGGAAGGGCACCGCTGCACTGGGCCGAGGGGCTCGCAGGGCCCCCCATGGGCGCGGCAGCCTTCTGCCCGTGCTCCCCACCAGCTGGCGCATTGCGGCCGCCTTCCTCTGCGCACAGATGGAGCCGCCGGGACAAGCAGCTCTGGATCGCCTGGCTCCCCCCAGGAATTCAGCCGGTCTCCCCTCGAAGCCATCCGAAGGGCCAGATCGCACGTGAGCGAATTCCGCATTTTAATATGCACTGTCTGAAGAAGTCCTTTTGATCTGTCCCAAACACTTCCTTTTCAAATGGCCCTGTTGCCACGAGCACGTGGCGAGTTTATGCTGCTGTCCTGGAGACTTTTGACCGCCTCCCGGGATGCACCGCCCTGCAAGGCAGCGCTCGGGAAGCGCCAGTGGGCTCGCACGTCGGGAGCAGGCCTGGATGACGGCGCCTTCCAGGGGTTTTCGGAAGTGAGCAGCGGTGAAGCCCAGTGTGTCTCTGGGAGTCCCAAGGGGGTGGGGCCGCCCTGAGAAGGCCAGGGCCAGCTGCCCGAGCGGCTCTTGCCACGGGGACGGAGAGAAGGGCCTCGGATTCTGCCCTCGTGCCGGTTGAGGCAGGCTGCGCTCTCTCGGGTGTTGCCAGGTCGCTGCTCGCAAGAGGGGGTGCTTGCTTTCGGATCAAGAGTGTTGGTGCAAAAACAGTCACGCTGGGGTTCCCTGCAGGAGGCAGCCCCTGCTTCTCCCCGCTTCGCTCCGCCCCGGCAGTGGAGCAGCGGTTGCTCCCGCTCAGCCAGAGGTGCCTCAGGAAGCGCCCCTGCCTCCTCAGATCCGAACACGTGCCGGGGGCGGTGGCAGGAGGGGGACGGCCGAAGGCTGGGTCCCAGCCGCCTCGGGGAAGAGATGGGCCCTAGACGGTGTGGGGTGCTTCTTCAAGTATTCTGAATGGGGAAATGCAACGGGGTGGGGGTGTTCGTTGCCAGGGAGAAGAGAGGGTGGAGGGGTGCAGCGGAGCGCTGGAGCCAGGCAGCTCAGCCCTGGCAGAACAGGCCGTCTGCGTGGACGCGGTCAGTGAGGCGGCCTGAGAATTGCCCAGGCTGAAGGCACAGCGAAACCACGCGCAGAGGGGGCGAAGGAGCCAGTGAAGGGCAGCGCCGGAGTCGGGACGCGCTCAGGCTCGGTGCACCCAGAGGCCGGCCGAGGCCGCTCGAGAGGCAAGGCGAGCCCGGTGGCCGCAGCGCCAGAGGAGTCGGCGGAATCGAGGGATGGGAGGCCTCCCCCCGGCCGCCCCAGTGTGGCCGTCCGAGGGCCCCTGCCCTTCCTGCCTCATGCCCTGCGCTTGGAAGCGCCAGGGCACCCCTGCGATTCCTCCTGCACCCGCCCTGGCTTGTTTATAAGGCTCACAGCCGCCGAGCAGACTCCCAAGGTGGCTTCCAGATGAATCAAAACAAGTTGGTCTCTGCCCCAGGCTAACAAGAAGGAAGACGCATCACAAAAGGAAGAATGGATGGGGAAGGGAAAGGAAAACAAGGAGGTGAGGGTCAGGGTTGGAGAAATGACGACCCCGACGAACTTTCTGCGGCCTGCAACGTCATCAGGCTGGGCCCAGACGGTGAGCCGGGCAGAAAAATCCCCACCTTGTGGCATTCTGCAAAGTCGGGTACCACCCAGGGCCCTTTCTCCCTAAAATTAGGGTTAGGAGAAAATCCAGGTTAGGGTTAGGGTTAGAGAAACGGCGGCCCCGACGGACTTTCCGGAGCCTGCAACATTCAGTCCAGTTCTCAATGCTACATGGTTCCTTACAGCACAGAGCAACTCAATCCGACGGGCTGAATGGAGGCACCGCTGGCCCTCCCGGCTCAGCCCGCCCTCTTCTCCAGCCTGATGCAAGAAGGGCTGGATGAGAGTTGCAGCGTTCGCAGAACCGGATGGAGCTGGCTTCTTGGGAGGCGCTCGGCTCCGCTCGGCTCCGCTCGGCTCCTCTCCCTCTCCAGCCTGCAGAAAGCTTCCCTGGCTGGCATCTTCCATGCCTCTCTGGACACACATGATGCCACGCACCCGTCGCCGCGCACCCAGGCAGCACCATGCGACTGCCGAGAGCAGGACTAGTGACTACAGAAAGGAGTTGAGCCTGTTTCAACTCTGGAGAAGATGGCTGAGCAAGCAGCGGGCAGCCGCAGTTCTTCGGCGGCTAATTCTGCATCCTCCGGTGGCAGCTGGTGAACCAGAAGGGGAGGTGCCGCTGGGTTCTGGTTTCCGTCTCTGGCATAGCCAGCTGGCCTGGATGTGACTTTAACGCTTGCTCAAGTGATCTTTCCCTGAACCCCTCTGGGGTGGAAAAACAGGCGGCGAAAGCGCGGCCTCGCAGCTCGCCTCGGCTGAGGCTGCGTGCAGGTAGCTTTGGAGCAAAGCGGTCAGGAGAGCAGCCATTCCCAGGCTGTCCTGCGATTTCCCGGCTGCACTCCAGCCATGGGTTAATGCGCAGCTGTCTGGGAGGAGAGCAGGCCGCCGGGGGGAGCATTCACCCAATACCTGTGGCGAGGCTTTGGAGGGGCCCTGCTCTGGCCGTGGAGGTGTGGACCTCTGCACACGGCATGTCCTCTCGGCTCTCGCCATCCTGCCCGCACCGCGGAGGAGGCTGCCTGGCAAACGGCACGGACGCCGCGTGGACGCCCCCTTCGCTTCAGCAGAAATCCCTTCAGGCCAGACACGGCTTTCTAAGGTGTGAAGGTCAAGGTAGCCACAGGTTGTCAGCAGCAGCCCACAGGGCCCGTGTGGTCAGGAGCAGCACCGAGAGCGGGGACCGGCCCCCTTAGGCAGGGACGGCCTTGTGCCAGAGGAGTGCCAGCCATTTCCCAGCCTCAGTGTGGCCCGTAGCCGAGCTGAGGCTTCCAAGGCAAGAAGGCAGTGGGGTCCGTGGATGTTCAGAGGCGGCCTTTGGTGCTGCAGACCAGCCCTTGGCAGGAAGCCAGGGCCCCGGGGAGGGGCATATCCCCCCCCCCCCGCGTACAGTCGCCCTGACTTTCGAGCAGCCCCTGCAGCATGGCAGGCCTGCGTGGGGTGCTGGCCTTGGGCCCGCCTGGAGCAGGGAGCCTGGCTTTAGAAGAGGTCCGGGCACCCAGGGCGCAACCTGGAGGAAGCTGTGCGACGGGAAGGGAAGGGCCCCCCCACACCCCTCCCAAGGGCAGACCTGCCGCTTCCTGCATCCGCCCCATCCAGCGGTTTCTGCCTGCTCCGCTTCAGGGCGCATCGATCAGTCATCTCAGACTTGTCCTATTGATCTTCCCTCCTTGCCAAAGAGGTTGCATTGTGTGTGTGTGGGGGGGGTGCTGCCAGGAGCTGCTGCTCCTTGGGGGCACAGCCCTCTCCTGCAAGCACTTTGCCCCACGGAGCTTGAGTGCTTGGCTGCAGCATCGCTCGGGGGGGGGGAGGGGGTGGCACGGCCAGGAAGCTCTCCTTCCATCTCTGCCTAGCAGTGCTGGCCCAGGAGGCTGGCCTAGGAACGGCGAAGCGAGGAGGGCCGGCCTTCCTCCCTGGCACGGAGGGAAGCAGGCCCCTTGCGCCTCGGTGTGGGCCTCCCGTGCCCCGACACCTCCCTGTGCCAGGCCTGGAAGGGGCCTGGGTGGGGGAAGAGGGCTCTGAGGGCCTGGGGCTCGGCCGGGCCAGCGGACCCGTGGGGCATGGTCCGGCGCGCTCCCGGCCTGGCTGGCCTGGGGCCATGAGCGTGGTGCCGGCCAGCACGTCCCTCCCCACCCTCTCCTCTGTGGCTGCATTGTGGTGCCCGAACACACAACCGTGCTCACCATGGAAACAAATTAAGTGGGCACGGCACGGAAGGCAGCCTGCCGACGGTTCGCTTCCACGCTAATTCTGCTTCAGAGGCAGCCGGATGAAAGCAAGCGCCTGAGCCGTGGTCCGTGCGTTAATTCGGGAGCTCGCTGCGTGGAGGTGTCATGGCAGCTGCGGCTTTGGAGAAGAGAAGAGGCAGCCTTGGGGAGGGCTCAGGTAGAACCTCCAAGTTTGGGGTAATAAGCTTCCAGGCCTCATGGAGGTCGGCTG